TGGTCTTTATTGTGACTGTGTTTCGGCTGTCACCTGCTGTGCCTGCCTGCCTCCACTCTGGGCCTGCCTGCCCCTGCAGGGTCAGTCTACCTCTGCCTGCTGCCTCCCGGGCCTGTGTACCTCTGTGGGCCGCCGAAGGGCCTGTATGTCTCTGCGGGCCACCGCCGGGCCTATATGTCTCAGCCGGCTGCCGCCGAGCCTATATGTCCCTGCTGGCCACCGCTGGGCCTGTATGTCTCTGCCGGCTGCCGCCATGGACCTACCTGCCTCTGCTTGTTCCTGCTGCCAGGCCCGTCTACCTCTGTGGGCCGCCCCCAGGCCTGTATGTCCCTGTCGGCCAACGCCGCTGGGCCTCAACAACATCATTCTTGATTCAGTAATTTAAGTGTTCTTGTTTTCACCCCAAAATCTCAGTGATCAGAAAGCATCTTGATGTCTCTTGCTCAAGTTAAAGATAAGATTACTCTCCATTCCACATTTATGAGTTTGTTGTCTACATTCAGTTGTTTTATTATTAGGTGGTCTCAGGGATGCTATCCTGGTGAGATCGAAAGCCATCTAGGACTTCATGAATTTCCCAGAAAAATATAAACATATCCTTGCCTCAAGATTAGATTACCAGGCCCTCTTCTTTGATTAGTTTGTTTATCTTATGATTTAACATTTTCTTTAGTCTGTGTATACTTTAAGGCAAAATGCTTTAAGGGAAGCAGAAAACAATTATACTTTAAAGTGGAAAAAATTAATGGTTAACTTGGCTAAATGTAGTATTGTGTGTAGTTTTACATAAGTTCAGAGATATTGCCCTTTTATTTATGAAACTTGCCAATTTAATTATTAGACAACATTTTACAACAGCTGGATCTTATGGATAGTAAGGGATTTTAGTAACAAGGTTAATATTCCATAAAGTGTAAAATTCTTGAAGGTGTTGGCTAGTATAAGCAGAACCATTACCACTTTTAAGTTATAACAGGAGTCCTAGAAAGGACACCCATAAAGAGCTATTTGACAAAGTCAAGTTTTAGAAAAAACACAATTGTATTTTTGTGGAAGTGCCAATGCCCCGTGCTAAACACGGGTTGTACTCTGCAACTGATTAGACAGAGAGAGGCTTCATGCGTGCCTGTAGTGAGCCAATTCTGAGCATAGACATCTAAATACTGAAAACCAAAAAAAAAAAAATTTTGAAGAAAAACAACAAAAAACCCAAACTCCAATGGGTGCAATTTTGGTTAAAACAATTTTTGGCCGCCAAGGGAATTAGAGCTATATGAAATTATTTTGGCATTGTTGGCCATTATATTTTATATTATTTAGTAGAAATATTTTTAAAACCATTTTAAAAAATTCACTTATTTTTAAACCCAGCTAAACTTGTTTACGTTGTTTTAAGTTCTTATGATATACAAAAATATAAATTTAAAAGAATTAAGTTTTAGTAATCACAAATACAAGAAATATGGGTGATGTTCTTGCTTTTAATTTCTGAAAGACATACAATGAACATGTCTCCATTGTTTATGTTAAAGACAAGACCAAATTTCTTTTGCTAGCACTGTACACATTGGATGCGTTCATTACTGGACCAGGCATAAGCAGGGAAAGCTCCTACAGTCTCAGTAACAGACAGCTCATGGCACCAAGCCTTTGGTTAAGCCTCCTGCCAGCAACCTGAGTCAAGGCTGCTTCTAGCTCTTCTCCTGAGCAAGCTCTTTGTTCTGTGTTCTCTGTAGCAAATGATCGAGCAGTTCACTATTACTGTCAGGTTTTAATATGATTGAATTTATTTTTTGTTTATTTACCTGATTGCATGGCAAGTTCCCTGAAATAAAGGAATAGTGAGAAGTTATACTGAAACACATCATGTGGTTTATTTCTCTCTGTGTGAATGAAGTCTGTCAGCAAGGTAAACGGTCTGTGTAAACAAACTTCATTCATTTTTAATCATTGCTTTTGGCCTAACCTTGAAAATATGAACAGCATTCTAACTGAAGCTTTTCCCTATAAAATGAAATAGATTTGTAATTAGTATGACTACAAGCATAGTTTTAGAACACTTTAAAGAATTTTATTATTTACGAGGTCATCATCATTAACTTGTATGACCTAATTGTGTTTAACAGTTTACAAGGAGTTGGAAGCTTTTGTTAATGATTAGGATTTTAAAATTTTACCCCCATTGAATTTGAGTTTTAAAAATTTGGATTGAAGATCTAACTTAAGATACTTTAGCCTCAAATATACAACTTAAATAAATACAGTCCATAGAATTGAACTTTATTTTATTTTTTTATTCTATAGTACCATTATAGAATATCAGTTTGTATGACTCAGGTTATGCAAACAGCAAAAGTTTAACAAAGTTGGGAAAGACAAAGAGGCTAGATATATTATTTTCAAGTGCATTCTGCTAGCCTAAATAGACCTAAGGTATTTAAGAGCCTTATTTATCAAATATACCAAATTTATCAATCACATATTTGATTCTTATTTAAATTTTCCAGAATCCTGGTGTTGAACAGTTTGCAAATACATAAGTGGTTAGACATACATCTTTTGAGTCAGGTTCTTCTATCCTGAGTAGACCTATATTTCCTTAG